GCATAACCACCTGTCATTGACAAAGCAGTGAAGGAACGGTCCTGCGATAAAGAAGTCCCTGCATGTTTTTACTGTGAACGTATACGCAGTAAATACTCCTCTTCGTGGTAATCAGTGAAACATGGAGTACTGTTGCCAACTTGATGAGAAAGTTTAGTGAGTGGTTGACATTAACCCGTACAATTTGAAGTCATGAATACGCTGGCTGAAATCTGGTGTTGTTCCGGCAGTAACTTTAAGTCAATATATTTTTTTGCATGTAGCTCTTGTTGCCGTCTGTTATTTCAGTTGTGCTCTGACGATGCTACGGCGTGACTGTCGAAACGCTTTGGCGATTGTTTGTTGCCCTCAGCCATGAATCTGTATTTCATCTAAAACTGTATTTCAGAAGTTCATTCATGTGTTTAGTCTTGACTTTAAATGAAGCTTCTTTGCTGTATCGTATCCACGGTCCATCCGTTTTCTCATGTACACGTGTTTTGATATTTTTTTAAAGTGTCGCATGGCGATAGTTTATTGCTGTTGCCTATTCTAGCTGATATATAAAAAGTGTAATTTACTGTACTCTATGAGTGTAATGATAGTACTATTGAATACTTTATATTCTGTTTATAATTCTATGATACCGTATAGTGCGTCATACATGCGTACGTAAATGCGTATGTAATATCTACGGCAAACCCGAATTTGTCATGCATGAAATGATGCTATCGAGGATGAACATTGCGGGTAGTCTCAATCTCTGACATTATTTATTCAGCATGTATAATACGAACTGACTTTCTGATTTTCAGACTGGACATAAAATTATAATATGGCTTTTTTCTGGCAGTACTACTTTTTAGTTGTGAATGAACAGCGAAACGGTTTTAATAATTGTAGTCATCCATTTTTAATAAGACTGTCTGGTAATAATCGCTGTTTTTTAGTATTTTTGTCAACTGTCTCTAATTTCATATTCAACCTTTAGTGCTACATGAACGCTATACTTCAGTGCCTTAGCCATACGAAAGAACTCCGAAAGTACTGCCTTGGGCAGACGGTAGTTCGGCCACCAATTCGACTTTCTACCAAACAGGTTAAAAACATTTGGAAATGTAAGCAGTTTGTTTTCATATCATTTTTCAATTGCTGTATTTAAAATGAAACTATTATAACTCTGTGGGGGCAGGTAAATTTCCAACTAAAGCACTGAATTGTCTCTAACTGAAACTTGACCTATTCTTTGTTTTTTATAATGAAGTATAGTACATGAATATGTACAATAAATATATTGACTTAAATGTTCAGGCTAGGATGCTTTTGCTTACATTTTGAGAGGAGCCGTTCAAGCGTCTCTCATGTCGTTGCAGGACTATTGTGAAATTTCATTATGATTTCAAAACTTTAATACGCTGGTTTTGACATGTAATCATTAAATACTATTTTCACTGAATGCAGTTTGAGCAGCTTTACACTATATTATAAAATTTTCTAAGTTGGTACACTATGAGGCTATTTGTAATGCGGAAAATGCGGATCTGCAGTCTCCGTCGCGGAGAGCGGGCAACAGCTGAACTATCGAATCACGTGACAGGGCAAGTTGCATTTTAGTTATACTCCTAAACCGTATATGATATCCCTTAGACTGCAACGGTATGTTATGCGGTCTATGTTCTGAGCAGTCGATAACAAGTAATGATCATGATAAAATGATAATGGCAATGATTTTACTTATGATGACGGTAATGGATGATGGAGCCATTTGCTAATGATGTTCCTTGATGATAGTCCTACGCAATCCAACGTAGTTCTGCTAGACTCTTTTCTGGCTCCATTGCGCGCACCTTATTCCATTCAACAGCGCCTCACACACAAGGCATAAACACACTTCATGCTTATGTGCATTTAATCCTAAATATAAATATATGTTCTTCTGTAGTCTGCAAACGGCCGATCCACTTCTGACCCGTATGTTTCTTTCCTGGTTGTGTTTTCGTAGAAAAAATATGCGATGCAATAGATGGTGGCATTCATAAATCACTGAGCGCGAACGCATAATTTACCACTTTGCACACCTTCCTTCAGCTTGAATTACAAAGCCGTACTTCTAGTCGTAATGACGTCGTTACACCCTATACAGATCGACGTTCGAGCGATCACAGTTACATAAATTCAGATAATTTCGCCGTATGGGAGTGAGTATTACTTTTAGCCGTTTGCATAAACAAAATCTATCTGGTTTGTCCCACATTTGTATGGTCGGTAGTGCCTATTGGTCAGAAATGCAGAGTGAAGCGATTTAAGCATTTTCCTCCGGAAATACTGTAAATCGACTCTTTCTCTTTTTCGAGGGTTTCGTAAACGTCAGCATGTAATTTTATCATTTTACCGTACGCTATATGTTATTTAACACTTGTTTTCATGATGATTGTTTCTTGCTGTTGATTTGTATTTTGTAATACTTTAACTTCAATATTAGATTTCGCAAAACTAATTTCGCAACTGTGGAATTGTCCTACCATATCGGTTTCATCAGTGAATCCAAGAGAATTTAAGGCTTGCATCGAGAAAGCGCAACCTCGTTTCGCCGGCTACAGGTAAACCAGTTGTTGTTTATTTATTAATCTATGTTTATGCATGGGTTGAGTTTTAGGCATATCTGGTAGTCAACTAATGATACAGTGATATATATTCTAATATATGTATATATTCTTCTTAGCTAATCATCCCATCTGAGCCGAAGTCTTCCATTAGGGCGCTTGCAACCCTTTCCGCCACTGCAAAAGTTTGCCGATCATCCGTCAGTCATGCGACGTAAACCATCGTTATCGTTTCCTTTTTATGAGATTAATAGTACGTCCTGCATGTCCGTGTGTCTTCCTATATTTTCATTTTTTAACTTGTCTTTGATAGAAATTCTTAGCGGTTTTCTTTCCATGGCCCCACGATCTTAACAATTCTAGAATTTGTCATTAAGACCCAGATCTCGCAATCTTATAGAACTGTTGACAAAACCGTGCTTTCATTAGTTGATTAACTTCCACAGTCGGTAGCTTTCTGTTTTCAAGAATTTCAGCGTTTGTTACATATGTGCTGCATGTCGTACGATGTATTCTTTCGAGCTCGGAATCGGTGGAGTGGTCTGAGACGATTGGCTGTCCGAAAGAGACATACTCGGTAACGTTTTCTATTTGGCCATCATGGATGGTAACTGTAGATGATTGTTCGGACTCGTTTCTCATCATTTTTTTCTTCGGAGTCCAACTTGGTTGCTTATTAACTGTATCTCACATGGCATGGTTTCAGGTTCTTTTAACTTCTTCCCCAACAGCATTATCTTACTGGCATGTCGAAGGTGACTGAACCGTCTGAGATTGATTGAAAATTTCATTTTGCGGAATACTAACTTAGCACATGCTGTAAACAGCTTGGGCGATTTGATCTACTCAGAGATCTGAGAAATTCAAACAGCTAATCTTCGTGCTGTACCTTTATTATACTTCTTTGTTCAAGACCATTATAAATAACGATATAAAATCCATATGATGTCGTACCTCAGTCGTTAAAGTTTTGTCTTGTGTCATACTGTGATTGTCGACATCATGACCGTATGCGCTGAGAGGTTTTCGAACCTCATCTGTACATAATGCAGAGGTTGTCGACCTGTTTTACTGATTTAGCAGAAGTTAAACATCATTGCTTCATGAGGTCTTCGTTCTAGTCAGGGAGTGAAATTTGGACCCTGTTAAAGAATGCTCAATCCATAAGGGTACCGCATATGGAAGGTTAAACGTTCAAAGTCTCAGAAGTGCAACTTCGGTCAAATGTCTACGCAGTAAAATGCAATACAGGTTTAAACACTTAACAACTAATTAACCTGTTTTGTGTATGTCCTTTTTGTACTAAAAGAAAGGAAAGTTTGTTTTCCGTTGAACCTTCGATTCTCTATGCGTTTTCATGTTGCTCGTTTTCATAAAGTTAACGGTAAGGTGCTGATCTCCATTTCCATGTCATTAGTCAGGAATGAATTTCATTTAAGAAAGAGTCGGCAGCACGAATGTGGCAAGTTCGGTGTCACTTCCTGTTTCATGTCACTCAAAGTGATACTCCTTTAATTACCCTGGAGGAATGATAGGCGAGTTGCCTGACCGGGGCTTGAATTTGGGACCTCTGCGTTTCGAGACCAACTGACCAATCCTGGCCGTAATAAACTAACCGAATGACCGGTTCAGTTCAGCTCAATTTGTTGCTTGTGATAAAAGACGGATGAAGCTCTGTTGCCTTTCAGAATGAGACCCACCACAAAATAGCTAAACGGGGCAATCAAATGGACAAAGCAGTTTGCATCGCTGCGACAGTACTTCCTTTAACATATTCGTCCTTTATTCAATGTTGTTAACGTTACGGGCGATACATGAGATTTTCTCATTATCCGGTAAATTGTGCATTTTTTTGTCAAGAAAATGATTATGAACCCATTCTTATTTGTTCTGTTTCTTGAGAGGCAGCGATACAATGAAAATGACAGGTATATTCTGCGTTGTTCAGGAAAGGGGGTCCAAATGTGACCATTTGAATGTGCGTCAGACTCACGACCAAGGATACAAATCAGTCTCACTGCTTTTACGTGCAGTTTTCGTTGTTCACCAAGCATGCAGCAGTGAGATTTAAGCTGGCCGATGAGTGCCACTGGTCAAGCGTTGGTAGTGAGTGTTGCGGGTATAAGTACGTTAGATATGTACTGGTTATGCCGTTACAGATATGGGTAGGCATAGATACAGGCATAAGTTAAGACTGATGCCGAAGCTGTTGAAGAATTTAATTTAATTTTTTCTGATCTGTCCTCATTTGAAGGTTTAGCTTTTTCTGCAAATTACTGCGTAGGCTAAGCGGCTACTAAAATTTAGGCAGAACGATTCACACGAGTTTTTGCGGTTTCTTCTGTCGGAATTGCACGACGAGTTGAACAAAGCCATGCGCCAGTCGTATTCGTTGCCGGTGATTATGGACGGAGTGTCGGACAACGTGAAAAGTGCACAGTCATGGAAACGGTACGCTTTCTATGACAACAGTGAGATCGTCGGTAATCTCTGACCAAGTATCGTCCCAGCTATCAACTTGACCATTTCCATTTTGTTAGACATATTCGTCGGTCAGCTGAAGTCGCAGTTGACCTGTTCGCACTGCGGCAACGTCAGTACCACGTTCGACCCGTTTTGGGACCTGTCATTGCCGCTGCCGACTTACTCGGCTACCTCTGGTCGAAGCGTGATGTTGTCGGAATGTTTCGACGCATTTTCCAAAGAGGAGATGCTGAAAGATGAAGAGATGCCGGTAGGCTGCGCCGTTTTTTATTACCTTACGCCGATCTTTAATCACTAGTGAATCATTCAGGTTTGTTCAGTGTGCCACGCGCGAAGACCTTGCACCAAGAAGTTCAGCATTCAGAAGTTTCCGAATGTTCTGGTGCTACGTAAGTTGAAAGTCGTGACGTTTTGCTCGTCTCTTGTCACATTAGCTGTAGCTGTCGATCGTTCAATAAGGCGAGTCTGGTAGTAAGATACTGCTTTTGCGTTCGAGCGTCCTTCCGTATTCTCGTTCATGACTCTTGTTCATTTTTCGGTTTTAGATTTGAAAAGGTTCCAAAGCGACCAGTACCACGCAAAGCTGACGACATTCGTGCAGTTTCCTATTCGTGCCCTCAACCTCTCTCCGTACGCTGTTCCTGACTGCAGTAAATACCTACCTACATGCACTGATTACTGGTTGTAATAAGCCATGATTGCTTTTAGACGAATCTTGCTCTTATAACCTCTACGCGGTCTGCAACCACTTCGGCTCGACCTCTTTCGGCCATTACACGGCATTTTGTCAGCACTCAATGAGGGACGAATGGGTGCTATTTGATGACGAAAGGTAAGCGTGCGTCAACTTTAGTGGAACATGTGGCATCTCTGTATTATTTCACAGTGCTTGTGTATAATCTATTCAGAAAATAAGCGCGGTGGTAGTAGCTGCTCGCTTGTTTTCTTGTCCTAATAGCATGAGCAGTAATGCGGAGTCGTGTCCTGCGAAAGCTTACTGGAACCAGCTTTGGATGTGGTGCATGAACATTCACTCTGAAGGGTTAAATGGCAGGACAACGTAAGAAATTACGTTTTCTTCAAGACACAGGTAACCCCAATACACGTGGAGATTAAGACAGCGAGGTTAGCACTGACATGTCGTTGTGGAGACTAAAGGTCCGCATAAGCACGTATTTTGACTAGACTTTTATGGGGAATTAGTGTTAGTGATATATCAGTGCTATTCTTCGCATATTTTCGCTTTTAGGAGTTCAGTTTTGTCTAAGGGAGACGCAGTCGAAGGCACGTGGACATTCACAACATTACATAGAATTTTTCTGGTATCATATTTACAATCAGAATCTGTGATAAAGGCAGTCTTTGAATATAGTCACTGTGTATTTTCTGTTCTATTTAGAATTTCATTCGCTGTGTATTTTTGCTTAACAGTTCACTTCCGTTTACACGTGTTCTTTGACACTTTAACCTTTATAGGGTGAAAAGGTTTCCGGATGAAAATGGTTTAGTTACTCCTGAAGCTTACGTGCTGTTTTATGAAAAGTGCTCCCGAACGATATAATTGCAGCTAATGACGTGTTCGAACGTTTCTTCCCGTTCATCTATTAGCGTTTCTCGTTAGGTTTTCCGGTCAATTTAAGAGCGCCTAATTTTATGACGTTGTTGCTTTAAGTTATTTGTTCTTGTTTTTCATTTTATTCAAAATTTTATTGCCGATCTACTATGTTGCCAAAGAATACCTTTGAAACTGTTGTTAATCGGTTTAGAATTAATTGCGAATGTCTACTCGCAAAATTTGGCGTTATGGAAATCCACATATGGTCGCTGAATTGGTTTCAAAATAAAACTGTGAAAATAGCAGAAATACATATAGACAATTGCTACCTGCTTCTATTTCTAGAGATCTACGGAGATTTTTGATGGCTTCCTCATATTTATTGTCTTCCTGCGCACTTGAATGTAAATCACCACATTACTTGGTAAGAACAGCATGTTCGAAGTGCTAAGAGAAATACTGATGGGCATTACTCGATTATGCCGTGTAAATCCAGAAATGCGCGCATACCCAATTTTTTTACCTGGCCCCACTGTAAATAAAATTTTAAATTCAATCACTCAAAGGTTTTATGTGCAACGTTGTAGTCATCGGCAGAAACGAGTATCTTCAAAAACAATAAAACATATGGTCGGCATGACCATGTCTGGAGCGTAGTGTATTACATTATCTATTGCTCTCCTGACGCACTGACATGGCACTTGATGCAGGAGACCAAAGTGATAGTATATTCAGTTATATTATAATTCACAGCGATGAGAAAGACTAGTAATGACAATACGGGACTTTGTAAACTTCATACGCATTATAGATAAGCCGAAATTTTCAGAAGCACAACAGTCTGACAGGCTGTAAGGAAAGGTGCTGTTCTGTATATCTTGATCTTGCAACTCGACTGACGTCATCTCTTGACACAAGGTTAAACAAGTCTGTGAATGTGCATTTCGAGGTGGTGCGACGTCGTAAAATGTGGATGCAGGCAACTCTGTACAAGGGACTAGAGTGCGTAAGCAGCACAATCACGCGTAAAGTGAACTGATGGTAACTCCTTGGAACCCGTTATAACCATCTACAAATGAGTTATTCTACACTTCAGATTTCTATGCGGATAAAAATGACTGCTTCATCTGTTGGTGATTGAGGGCCAAATATGAAAATTTTCATATTCAGAAGAACATCCTTACAAAAGAAGCATAATCTACGAAATAATAGTTTTAAAGTTCCTAATCCATGGTGCACCACAATGGTTTTGTACCACAACGGTTCTTTCATAGCCAACGACCTTTCGTACAATAAACAGCACATCGCATTTTGTAAACGAAATTATAAAGGCGTAAAAACGCAAAACATGGGCATGAACGCAACAAAACGGTCTACGATTACACAAGGCACTGTGTAATTCTAGCATTTGTCAATGTACCATTTTAACTCGATCTCATACTGGCATTGCTGGTGATAATTGCAGCCGTAGGGCTGCCTGTTAAGATTTCATCGGCATCCGGATTAACGTAAATTCAGCAGCAACGCCGCCATGTAACTGTGCAAAAAACAATTCAGTCGAATGCAGCTGCCCTACCACCAAGAAATGCAGCCCAGGCCTGCTTCACCAATGGAGCCAGTTATTTCATAGGGCGATTCTCGCTCTACCGGGTTGTCATCACTAGCGGTTGAGTTCAGTCCAACATCGGTGAATTTTTCTTCCATTACTCTAAACCTCACCTCGTTACCTGCAAATATTTCGTTTATGGGGTAGAAGATTTAAACTAAACGAATAAAAGTTAAAAATAATGCCCACCGGGTTCCATGAAAAGTTCCACTGATCCATCATCAGTCGGATAATCCCAAATCCAGAGCTGCTCCCTTTCTCGAAACCTCGAAGGATTGGGAAGTTTCTCAGCGGGAATAAAGATGTTGTCGAAGAAAATAATGGACACTAAAATTGCCTTAGTAAAATGCAAATCATTGTTGTCATAATGTCATCATCGTGGCCAGCTGCAACAAATATTTATGGCAGCCCCATCAGCACGAATTATACACAAGCTGAGTGATTGAATTAAAGTGCCAGCTGGAATTAGACAAGGTTGAATAAAACCGACTTTGTTTGTCCAGGCCTTTGAATAAGGGCGTGATCATCTGCTAAAAGTGTTAAACCCTGAGGTTGACAATTTTAATTACTTGGATTTATCAAAGATGTGATATCAGAATGACTCTCTCGAACAAGCGGCTAAACCGAAGACAAAAGTGGCGATTTCAGATTTGGGCTATGTCATCTGTCTAGCTTTTATCTTATTGAGCACATAAGCCAGGAATACATCGTGGGAAGGAAGCATGACATTGCAACTCTAGTGGCCATCCAGCTATAGTAATTACCGTAAACAAAAGCATATCTGTGAAGCGACATTGTAAAAATTACTAGTATCAATCATAAGTGCAATGAAATCATCCTCATATCTACGTGGTCAATAAGGAACTGCTGTGCCAAAATGAAAATGTCCTCAGACAACCGCATTGGCGAAGACACTTATCAGTAGTAAACTAGTGCGGTGCCTTGTCGACACGTGTTTCCCACGCAATCGATGGACAATTTCGAATGATTTCTAAGCCTGGTCTGAGTCAGCATGGAAGAGACCGTGAGGATATCACTGTTCACTCAACCGACATCATCGAAAGGTCAAACTTACCTAAATCATTTGACGCCTCCAGCAGAAAAAAACCAGTTCGCTATCATACCCTAATATTACGACTTAAGCCGTATCGTTTGACGCAAACTTTTGATCTTTAAATGTTGCACTCAAGCAGAAATCATAAGGAAGCTGAAAGTTAAAATGATGTCTGTTGCATCAGCAACCTTCAGAAAGCCAAACAGTCATCGTATGCTTGAAATGTGACTAGCAACAAATGCATGCAGTGAGTATCTAAAGACAGTGTTACATGGTCTGGCAACGGTTGGAATTACCTAAAATAACGTTGCACCGATATTCGAAGCTAAAAACGTGAAAATTACTGGGATATGACATAAGAATAATCTAACTGCATCACAACAGATGCGGTAGTGCGCCCTTTGTCAGCAAAACTGATGGCAACAGAATGCTGAAAAAACTACAGGTACATGACCGCCACGAAACAGGCTTGAAGTACGTTTGCATACGAAACTACAGCTGAAGTGGGTCAACAATAAACAGCTGTTGATCCCTCTACGGAATAAAATCAATGAGAAGGAGGAAAAAGGAGTAAACAAAATCCGTATCTCAAAGACTATTTTTCTGTGCTTAATACCAAGAAACGATCATAGTGCGATCTAGATCTGAAGCGAATACACAACATATACGACGAGTAAATGGAAGAATACCTGGATAAAAAAACTCAAGCAAGAAGCCGAAAGAGAACGTGCTCTCGACCTTCTCGGGGATAAAACGTGATCAAAGTTTCGTGATCAAAAGAATTAGGCTTTATATCTCCGCAATAAAAGAATCTGAATCAGCCCCCCTCCCCCTCGGACGTCACTGTGAACCGTTAGCAAAACAGACTAGGTGTTCATACGAGACAAGTGCCGAAAATGCCATTTGTAACGGTCACATAATAAATCATGGTTACCCTTGCTGCTTAGACTCTTGTAGCCTCAAACGAAGACGATAAAACAACAACCTCATAACCACACGATTGACAAATGGTAGGTGAAAAATACACATGCACATCTAGCAGACTTATATCAAAAGCCATCAGAGAGACCACTGACCAAACCAACAAAGCAAGGAAGCAGCAAACTGAACGTCGGCTGAATGCAAGCGAAAAATCTTTGTGTGTAAAAAGCCGAAGATACATTTTTTCACAGTAAAAATTTTACTTAAGCAGGCAGCAGGAAGAATAACATGTAAAATCCGTAACATTCTTATACAGGCAGTATATGTACTGCAAATAATGAACATATGTCAGAAGAACTGAAGACATTATGGGTTTTCGCTTACTATGCCGTGTTAGATTAAAGACGTAAATTCTCCCTTGACATATATGCCAGAAACCGCTAATCACTATCATATTACTACATGGAAAAAGGAATCTGAAAAGCTTCATGAACTTTTATCATACGCTAGTCTTAAAATTTTACGAGCATTGTTCATAAGTTGAAAGAGCGAACAGAACTGCACAAAGACATGGCAAGGACAAGAAGACTGCTAAAAAAATGAATTTAAACGAATCTGTGACGAACGAACCGCTAAAGAAACTTCCAGCAACAACAACCACAAATTTCATCCTGAGGGTTTGTGAGGTATATATCTAAATGTTGATAATGGTCATATATTATTATACCTTAAAATCTATATTTAACGTTAAGCGATATGCAACGACAAATCAGATTATAACCATTCCGTTTGCTCTCAAGCTGTCCAACAAACTAAATGGAAGCTAGAAAACAGGCAGAAAGCGGGTGTATTCGAATACATTAAAAGCCTGGCTGCATTGCATCCTCGGGCTACTGATTTATTAAGTGCGTCTATACTCAGAAAGAGCTCAAGAACCACACTGGGCATAAAATCAAGATGATAATTATGAATCCAAAATATTCTCGCCCGGAAAAAATGACACAAAAGAATTAGAGAATACCTAATAACGGTAAGAAATGCGAATGAGGACCACCCTGGTATTGCGTCACGACTTTTATCCGTAACATTTACTGAGTTTATGTATTTTATGGTACTTAACTGAGGGCGATTAAAGTCTGAGCTAATAATCAAGAAATCTACGTTTACTGCCTAATAAAAGCCGAATGTGCCATGGACGAGTGAGATTTAATGAAAAGAGCCGTAGTTAGAATATATCATAAGCCAGCTCATGTTAAGTGTTTATTAAACAGGCGGTCTTTCTAACTTAAACGATAATAATGATCAGAACTCATAAGTATCTGCATATATTTGTACCTTGAAAATGAAGCAGGAAGAGGAATTAAAGATTTTAACATCCTGCGTAGTTCTTTGCCTGCTCTGAACCATGATTCAAGAAAGATTTGGTGCACACCAATTATATAAACCATTTTTGTGTCTCTTAAATATAGCATGATTAAAATTCACCATGTAAAAAGGAGCGCTTCTCTACTTACCAGCAATCCCCTTCGAAGAACATGACCGAATGCGACCGAAAATAACTTCACCGATGAAAGGCCGGAAGATAAGACAACGAAAAGTCACTAAAAAATGTTCAAATATATTAATAATGTAGCAGGCATGCACTTGACCTGCTAAAAGTGATGTTGATACGGGCAGTCATTGTAAGACCATAATCGCCTTAAATTCTGGCAGGTTGGGAGCTGCTGATGAATGGCACAACTCGGTCATAAAAGTTACCATCGTAATTCTGAGTACTGGATGTCATCCCTCAACGACGACAGTTCGCATGCTATCATCTACATATGATGGATGGCGTGAACCGGATAACAAATCCCACCAGGTGACCTTCGCCTGACGTACAGCATGATCCAGGCCTGACAATCACCAACTAGTGAACTATCAATTTGCAATGTGGAACTAACCGATTCTGACAACACCAAGCAGGAAACGTGCTGCTAGTGAAGGGCCGAATGGCTTTAGCGTTCGAAGAACATGCATATAAGAGCCGTTGTTGTTGAGGATAAATCTGATCGATATATTCTTTATCCTGACTTTTATCTGACGACCTGGGTCGTATGACTTATCGTGTCAACTGCGGGTGAATGGCAATGGAGAATAAAGTTGCAAACTGCAGCAGAGGTGCTTCGT